CAGCGGATGAGGGACTCTATCTCATTTTTCAACTCGTAGCAGTCCTTGGTATCATGGCCGATGTCGCGGTGGTACTTGCAGTACTTCTTCGGGTTAAGTGGCGTGTATTGACTGTAAGCCATGGCTGAGGCCATTGGCTTCTTGTTGTCTTTGTTGTTGTTGTTGTTGCTGTGGTGGTCTTCATTCTTTTTCTTCTTCTCGGAAGCCCCACGGTGGCGCTCGACCTCCCTTTCTTGGTGGTCACCGGCCGATGCTTCCTCAATTGTGATGTACTTTTGGGCCTTCTTGAGGAATTCTGCCTTAGACTTCGGCAGAGTCTTGGCTACCGAGCACTTCAGGGCCAAACCAGGGAGGAGGCCATTGATGGCAGCGTGCATGGAGACCATCGGGTCAAGGTCGCAAACCTCGAGTTCTTACTTCTTGAAGCAAACAATGTAAGACCGCACACTCTCGCCCCACTTCTGGTTGACAGACATTAGCGAGACGACGCTTTTTTGGCATTGCTTGCTGTTGATGATGTGTGCGAGGAACAAGTTTGCGAACCGCTCCCACAAACTGATGGAATGAGGTGGGATGCAATTCCATGATCTGAGGGTCAAGGGGGACCTATGCCCCTTCCCTGTCCTCATGGACTCAGTGGGGGTCATCCTGGATCCCCAAGTACTCGGATGTGGGGCCGTGGCCGTTCTATCTGGCATGGCGGTTGTTGAGGAGGTCACGGAGGTCGGAGACCTGAGAGGGAGAGGCGCAACGTCGGCCCTCAACCCTAGAGTGAGGGCTGTAGTGGTCGTGTCGTCCTCCTTTGTCTCAGGAGGCCTCTCGTCTTCGGCGACGGTGGTGCTGTTCGGAGTCCTGGCGGTTGTTGCCGGGCTGAGCTAATTCTTCTCCCCTTCGGTTGGGAGGTCTTGGATTCCGAGGTGGTTGGTTGGCACGTCGGCTGCTACCAAATTCGAAGGGCTTGGCCCAGTGGGATTTGGCGGAGTTGAGGGCTAGCGGGTCCACAAACTTGCGCTGCCCCTGATCCGATGCCTCGACGGGGCGGCTACCTTGAGAGTGGCCTCCTACCTAGGACACACCTCCTTGGCACGCTGGGTGAGGTGGTCCAAACGGTTGGGACCGCTTGAAGCTATTCGTTGGTGACCATGTTCTAAGAATTCCTAGTGTTTCGTATCATGTTGATTGGATCTTAGGGGTGTTCTTGATTATAAGTTAGATTAAAGGAAGTCTTAGCGACTTTCCAACTGACGACACCAATTGTTGATGCTCGGATTGGCCGAGATCAACACTGTCAATTCACTCCTAAGCCCGAGGGGATTCGAGGTGCTGGAAGCCGAGGACAGCATGACCGAGGAGTGGAGTCCGAAATGGGGGAGATCTGAGGTCCACGACTTCTGGTATCCGAGGTAGATAAAGATCTTGAGGTTAGTTCTGCAAGGAAGGGTAACGTCAGAGGGCTCTGGTGAAGACCCGAGGTGAGGACTTCGATAGTCAAATTAGCAAGAAGGTACAAAGTGGACGAGGTCTAAGGTGCAAACACCCAGACGAGGTCACAACAAGAAATCTCAAGAGTGAGCTAGAGAGCTAGAATGTCCAATCCTTTACTTAGAGGGGATTGCCTCCTATTTATACTTGAACTGGCTTGGAGGTAGGTGAGCTCGGACAAYAGGGATTGAGTCCGTACACGGGGTACATGGCCATCCCAGGGCGCCAAGTGGCCCCGTGCCATTGATTTTCTGCTTTGCGCCGAGCTAAATAGCATGCCAACTGATTGTCTCAGCCCTAACATGCACCTCTTGACACGTGTAAGTCCTGGTATTAGTCTGGGCCATCTGCGCCTACATCAAAACCCTATAAATTTATTTGTTCAAAATTTTGAAATTCAGAAAAAAAAAATCATTGTGGACCATGGTCTTAAAATGATTGAAAGTTTGTTATATACTTTGTTCTTATCTCATGACTGTCTCCACTTTGCACTATCCATCATATCAATGGCAGGTACATTATGAAGGGCATCAAGCCACGTAAATCCAATAAAGTTACAAGGTGTGTGGGTTCAATCGTTAGGTGATACATCCTGGTCTCTAGATTAAAAAATGTGTGAAGCTTTAATGATATTTAGAGGTGCAATTTGGGTCAGGTTGGATTGAAAATTTGTTAAATTTTTAATGAGTCTAAATGTCTAATCTCTTCAAACAACTTAATTTGCAGATCTATTAGGTCGATTTCAGAATTTTATAAAATGTTTTGGTTTTTTATCGTTCATATTCTTAAAATTATTTATATAAAATTAAAAATAAAAATAATAATATAACATAAAATACTATAAAATATTCAAACCCAATATATTTATTTGTTTTAAATTCATAAATTAAGAGAGAAATCATCACGGACCAAGGTTTTAAACTCTAATCCTCCTTTTCTTATCTCACTATTGGCTCCACTTTGCACTATCTACCATATCAAGGCCAGGTACATTAGAAGGGCATACATGATAACAGAAAAAATTGCAGCCAATCAATCGATAATATAAAAAAAGTGACCAATCAAATGGTATTCATCAAATTTACAGGTGCTTTGATTGGTCAAATCTCTTCCGAATTTGGGATACATAAATTTTCCTTGTTGAAATAGTTGAATGATTGTGACCAACCACTAACTCACCATGTTGCAAAAACCATTGATGTTGATTATTTGTTGATGACCCGTCAAACTTGGATGTGGTCGAGACGGTGACCTACTTTGTCCATTTACTAGGTTACTGGTACTGGTTGGCACTTTTTAGGTTATTGGGTTTTTATTAGAAGACTTCATAGATTTATTTAAACATGATCTACAGTTTTCATTTTATTAAAACACCCTCTGTAATTGCAATCTATTTACTTAATAAATTTTTTTATTAAGAAGTATTTGTTTTTCTATCCGAAAATAGTAACATGATTAAATAAACTGAATGAAAAATGTTTAAGTGCATGAGTTCATGAATGTTTATTCCAAAATTACAGGTTTTACTAAATTCATGAAATTATAGCGGTTGTATTAATAAATGACTCTTTTTGTTATCTTATTTTTTTGAAAATTTCATGATGTTATGGGTTGACTGTTAACCAGACGGTTGAATTGGTGAACCAAAAGATGGTTCACCCTTGAAGTTGTGTTATAAAACATTGGGTCAAATGACCAACTATTCTTTCATATAGCGTCACCAATTCACCAGATGGTTGAGTCGGTACTGCCCATAGGGCAAAATGATTTAACCATCATGCTAGGTTTTAAAACATAGATAGGACTGAATGACGAAGGTATGGATTGGTCACATTATTCCTCCGAACCTTCCGAACCAATCATTGTAAGTTTTAATTCTATGATTTTGTCTTTAATTATATTAATTAATTTGGTGAAAACCTGTTCTTTTTATTCCAAATTGATTTAAATCCCAATCAATTACATAGTTAATAATATATAAAGGATTCTAAACTGATTTAGACCTTAATAAAATATAAAGGCTTCTTGGCTTTTGTTATATTTTATGTTAAAGGGGTAAATTTTATAAGATAAATTCGGTTAAAAAACAGTTATATTTTACACGTACTATTGGTCTAAATGGTTCAGACTTGATTGTCCCGGTTAATAATTATAACAGTTTAAATCTAACTTATGGAATTAATTATCAATTCGTTTGGACTGGTACACCCTGCCCAACCTGACCTAACCTCATTCCAAAGCAAGCCTACATTTGGATTCTCTAATTTTCGGTTTTCTTGTGTTTTTAGTTGAAAATTTTCTTTCATCATGTAGGCAAATAAGTTCATGGGAAATTTATAATTCAATTCACCTCAGGGATTCTTTTTTTTTTTGGGTTTCATTTATCAATAAGTCCACCAATGATGATCCACTATCTCTTTAAAATTTGATTCATTCCCCCACCTTTCCAATTCTATCAAGTTATTTCTACCATACCCCATATCATAAATGTTGGAGGCTCTGCAGTTCTTACTTTAAGTTCCATTTGGAAGGAATAAAAATACAAATATATAGAATCCAAAACTTTATATTTTGTATGCATTTATTTTATAAATATTTGTATTTAGAATCATTCCAAACGTCTAATCACTCCATGTTATATTTTCAATTTAAAGCCGTTTATCATTATAAATGCAATTTATACTAGCACTTTTGGACAATTGTAAACAAGTTCGCATCTATTGACCATGACACATTACTGGCCACATACATCCTGCCACACATCGGAAATATTAGTTATATTTTACATCACCAATATTCTTGATGTGTGGCAATATGCACGTAGTCAGCAATGTATATCCGAACTCATTATAAAGGAGCTGTGTTAACCAATATATCGGGGATCATCTCAAAATGACACAATATGCTTTATCTAATATACTTTTAAAAATGATTTCTCAAATGAAATGGGCTTTTCCCAAGCCAGATCAGCAATTCAACCTGGAGTCGATTCATCTCGTAATTCAAAATGGACCAATTTCATCCAAGGAGCTTTATGTTGTGACCCTTATCTTAATACTTTTTAAAATGACCCGGGCTCATTGTTATGCATGCATTTTTCTAATTCGAATGTCTATCTACATCACGACAGGGATTTATGAAAAATTTGTATTAATCAATACAAAACACTTCGGAACAAAGAAATAAAAAGAGATCAAGTTATCGAAACAAAGAAAATAAGAAATAAGAACTCATTAATGCGACTTGGTAGGTGAAAATGTCGAACGTTCGAACAAATGCCACGTTTATGAAACTGATGACTCGCTGTGGACCGTGGCTTAAAATTTGTATTAATCAATGCAAAACACTTCGGAACAAAAAAATAAAAAGACATAAAATTACCAAAACAAAGAAAATAAGAAGCAAGAGCTCATTAATGCGAGTTGGTAGGTGACGTGTCGTAAGTACGAACAAATGCCACGTTTATAAAACTGAACTCGCTGTGGACCGTGGCTTCTCTGTATTCAGCCAAAGGGAGGAAAAGTGTTTCCGGGGTTCACTCCAGGAGAATCATTGCAGTGTTTCGTTTATTACTCTGAGCTCTGAAAAACTGTTGTAGCCCTGATACGGATTTGGGTTTCTAAATCTGCCTTTTCCTTTTTGTGATTATGGCCGGGAAGGTTATGCAAGCTGTCCGTTATGAGGCTTATGGTGGTGGATCCGCTGGTTTGAAGGTAATCTTTATTTTGTTATTTCCTCACGTCTTTTTGCTTTTTTAGTTTCTCAGTTTATTGGGTTTCTCTGTTAGTTTGGTTTTAATCTACAAATTTGTTCTTTCTTCTTAAAGGCTGATTTATGCGCTTTTGGGTTGAAGGAGTTCTTTCAATATACCTTTTCTTTAACTCGGAATTCTTTCAATGTTTGTTTATTTTTATGAAAGAATTTTCAACCATTGGAACTCCGCGAGAATTAGGTAGATATATAAGAATGCACTAAACCACTGATTGGCGAAAACTGGAGAAGTCATAGAAAAGAATGAGAACAAAATAGAAGAAATGATACTGACAACTAGGATATGCACACTGGGTTCAGAGTTTAAGACCCATTTGACATTCTTTTTAAGAGTTGTCTCCACATGCTATGACTGAAGAGCTTATGATGAACAAAATATTGCAGAAGGAGAAGAATCATAACAATATTTAGAGCTCTCATTTGCCTACCTTTTATTTAAAATCCTACAAGAGTTTAATTAGTGTTTCGGAATATTAATAAGCTTAGCAAGTTAAATTAAGTATGCAAATTGTTTTCGATAGGTAATATCTAAATTTTGTTAGAGCAAAAAAAGGATGATAATGTTTTCATTCGATCAGGATTTATAGATACATGGCAACCTGCTTATGCCAGCTGTATATGATGCAGCAGCAAACAGAGTAACTGCCTAACCAACAAAGTCCCACATGGAGAATTGCTTCTCCCAATATACATGCGTGGAAAATTGTTTCTCCTAATACCCCCCCTTCAAGTTGGAGCGTGGGAAACAATGCCCAACTTGGAGTAAAGACTATGTAGTCTGTCCCGACCTAGAGCTTTGGTGAAGACATCGGCAGGCTGTTCAGCGGTTGGAATGTGAGCTGTAATGATCCTTTTAGCTAGTAAATGGTCACGGACAAAGTGACAATTAATTTCGATGTGCTTTGTCCTCTCGTGGAATACTGGGTTTGCTGTTATGTGTAAAGCAGCTTTATTATCACAAAAGAGTTGCATGGGTTCAGAATGCTGAAGGCCCAAGTTTGAGAAAAGTTTCTTCAAACATATAAGTTCACTTGTGGCTGCAGCCATAGATCGAAATTCTACTTCAGCTGATGAACGAGTTACTGTGGCTTGTTTCTTGGTTTTCCAAGAGAGAGGAGAATGCCCTAGTGTCGCGGGGCTAGTCGTTGGGGCCCCGTGCGGCACTCGAATGTGACGAGTAAGCCTATGTAACAAGCAACAACACAAGAAAAGTCAACAAGATGGCACACGAATTAGTCAAAAAGGCTACTTGTATTGCATTAATGGATGGCAAGCACAAGCACACAGTTCAGTGTCGAGGGGATCTCGTGCTTAACCTTTATACGCTTATGACTCACTCGACTACCTACCTCCCCTTAAAGAGTACGTTAAGCTTTTGGGGGAGTGACATAAAGATACATCAAAAGGATGAAAAATCATACTAGGTAATTACAAGAATGCCATTGGAAATCCCCCATATAAAAATACATGCATAGCCCACCCATGACACACACTTGGACACTAGAGTGGCGGCTGTAGGCACGATGGGTGGCACTTGATGGCACGGTGAAGAGAACACTTGTGACAGTCTCCCCCACTCAATTCAGTCTTCGTCCTCGAAGACTGGCCTCTGATTGAGGCTCAGATCTACTGTTGATGAAGGAGGGTTCTTTAGCTGCTCCACGAACTTTGTCTCTTCCAAGGCCTAGGCATGATGATGGGTGGAAGTCTTTAGGGTGTTCTTGATGGTGGGAAAACCTATGGCTAGTCCCTACGTTAAGTCCTTGCCTGGCTGCTTCAAGGTAGGATTTTGGATGTTTTGCTTTTGTGGTAGGAAGGTTTGTGGCCAGGGCTAGGTCAAAATGAAGGTTTAGATTTTTCGGGTATTGTTCCCCATGATGATTTTTCCCCCAAGGGTTGCTCCTCACAAGGCTCCTATGAGGGTTGGTTTGATCATTGTGGTGGTGGATAGGGTACCTAAGTAGATTTGGTGGTACTCGCTCTCCCCGATGATGGTCATAGTGGAACTGGTTGTGGCTGGAGACGGCCTTGGGTCTTCCAAGAGTCTTCTGTGTTGTCGGCTCGTGGCACTGACGTTGGTGCCGTTGTTGATGTTGATGTTGGCGCTGGTGTTGCTGCTGACATTGGTACTGGCGCTGGTGCTGATGTTGATGCTGGCGTTGATGTTGGAATGGCTTTGGGGGAGACTTCTGAAAGGAGGGAGAGATCCATCGTATGGATGCCAAGAAAGCAGTGGAATAGGGTGGGCGAATTTCAAAAATTTCTCTCCTCCCTTCCAACTGGGAATCACATTCCCTGATTTAGAATRCAATATTCAAGGATCTAATCGAACAAAAAACCGAACCAGATCTGAACCAATGAGAAAGGGAAGGGATATACTTGATCTGGAGAAGCGGTATCTCCCAACGTTGGTGTTCACGCACAAAGAATACTCCCAAGATCTTCTCCCACTGAAGATGATGTAGTGATACTGAAGCAGAACCAGCAGTGTTCATCTCACGAACCAAATTCTTCAGAAGAATTTGATGGAAGCGAAGAGCACCGTACACAATYAGCCTTTCAGCAAAGACTGATATCAAGAACACCTTCTTGATCTTTCCCTCTCAGAGAGATCGAACTAGGCAGTGAATGGCGGCGGCGGTTGGAGGAGAACTATGAAGTTGGCGTATTTGCTTTTCTTCTCTCTAGATCTTCTGAGATCCTATCTCAAATTGCAAAAGGAGAGTCTGCTAAAACCCTTGGTTCGAATTCTAGTAATTCAAGAGTAGGGTTTCTCCTCTTTCTTAGTGATTAAGAAACCTCCTAATCCCATTAGGAGTTATCCCAATCCAAATTTGTATTTGGATAGGGAATTATCTTAATCCTATCTGTAGATTAGGTTAGCCTACTCTTGATTCTACTAGGAGATTACCAGATTCAAATCTTTATTTGAATTTGGTCTCCAAGAGTGGATARGGTCAAAACCCAATCCTTTGGCATGCCCTTATCTCAAATCCGCCCCTTTAAGTGGGCAATTAAAACACCCAGTTCGAAATGGGCTTTAGGCCCAATAAGTATTAAGTGCTCAACAGGCTTCCAAACTGCTGCCCAGTTGGGCTTC